ACAAAAAAGCAGTTATCAAGAAAAGAGTTTTATATCTAAAAATGTGCTTGTAGTTGGTGAAATTACTCAAAATGGTTGTGACGAATTTAAAGATGATGATGATGATGGCAGCGGTGGTGGACGTACTGGTGATGGCGTTAGTGAATTCACTTATTGGTGGTGAATGTTTTTTTCGTCGTGGTGACCTTCCTGGCGACGGTGACCGCGGTAGGAGTGGTTGATGGTGGCCAATTTCCTGGCGAAAGCTATTGACGGCGGTCGTATTTGGAGGGTTTGTGGTTGACACTCACGCGGAGACTGTGTGTTTGTTATTTGTAATGAGATATTCCTGGGCAGGGCATTGGGTATATTTTTGTATGTGCGGCGTGCCGGCCGTGACATGTCTCTGAACGTTCCGGCAAACCGCAAACATTTCAAGAGGTGCGGGAGTCAGATCACACAGAGACGTGGGGCTTGCAACTGCCCTATATCTTCTTGGTTCTTTCGGTGAAGTCACGTAGAAGGGAAATAATAAAAATAAACATAAGAAAATAATTCTCACGACGTTTCGGCCACAACGCAAGCAGCCGTCCTCAGGTAAAGACGCTGTCTCCCCAACAGACCTGGTCTTCACCTGAGGACGGCTGCTTGCGTTGTGGCCGAAACGTCGGGAGAATAATTTTATTATGTTTTATTATTTTATTATTTCCCTTCTACGTGACTTTACCGAAAGAACCAAGAAGATGAATCCCTGCAGTCACGAAGGCTTTAAATTGAAACTTCCCTGTAGCTATGTGATATTGAACGCGGGGCTAAGGAGTGCCCTCTCAGAGGTAGAGTGTCACATGGAGGATGGATTATTTTGGGTGTATTTTCTCTCCACAAATGCGTGGGGGTTTCCTCCCACAGACACTTTTGGCTTTCACCTAAGGTACAAAAAATACTAAGTGCACCGTATCGCCTTAACTAAAATTTTGGGGCAAGTGCTGTTAGCGAGCCTCTATGAACGTCGGCACGGCACACGATGGGGTGGATGGCCAGCACCACCCCCGGACGCCTTTGTCTCCCTCATGGCGATGATTGCATAACGCACCAGGTACTAATTTGAGGCTGAGTCGATCTAGGGGAGGCCCAGCACCGGTTCAGACAATCGTCACTGGTTTCGGCTGTGAGCGGGAATCGAACTCGGGTCTCTGATGGGTTCATCGCACAGTGCGCTAACTATTGCACCAGCGATCCCAACACAGATACAAACGCATGCACGCACACACAAAAGACAAATATCCACTGTGTAGCCTTAACAGACTTGGGCAAGTGCTGTTAGCGAGTACCTATGAATGCCGGCACAGCACACGAGGGGGTGGTTGGCCAACACCACGCCCGGCCGCCTTTGTCTCCCCAGTGGTGATGTTTACACACCGCACCAGGTGCTCATTTGAGGACGAGGCTACACACACAGTGCTTAAGCACACGCATTCACCTGTACTCGAACTATCGATATTCCAACCAACTTGTAATGCAAATAAACGACACCCACAGTATTCAAATAAAACGAGAGAATTGGGAAATCCTGTTTCCTTAATCCGCTTGTACTTAAGCTGCACTCTATGTAAGACAAAAACAACCCCCCCCCACCGTCTCCCCAAAACCAACAAAAACAACCACACAAATGCATATTCTTTGGGTCTTTCGGTAAAGTCACGTAGATATAAAAATAATAACAATAAAATATAAAAAATAAAGTGATTTTATTCACTTTATTTTTTATTATTTTATTGTTATTCTTTTTTCTAACTACGTGACTTTACCGAAGGACCCAAAGCATATGAATTCCTGCAGTCACGAACGCTTCGAGTCAAGATGTAACCGCACAAATGCAATGTACATCAAAAACAAATGCAACTTGAATTCCCGCATCGCGAATTCTGTACCCACCCTCGTATTCAACCGAGGGGGGGGGGGGGAAGTGGGGTGCCGTTGCTCACTCGCTGTGTTCAAGTCATTTCCTACTCATTGTCATGATAAGAGAGCGGTCGGGTTAAAATGCTTTCACCATTTAGAAGGCCGGCACCTTAATCTCCCTAACGCGGCGGGCAAACACGCCCGCAGCCCTCCGCTTTGTGTCCCCCTGCGGCACGATGTCCTACAGGAAGGATTGTCTCCCGTGTGGATTGTTCTACCCACCCCCCAACTCCACCCCCCACTCCACCCCCCATCCATTGTTCCATCGCGTGGGACTATCCTTTAGACTTGACTGCGACCACGGATTGAGCGAAGTTTGATCGGGGTACTTTTATTTGATCGTGGTCATTGTTTTATCCCTCGTTTTTATTTCTGCCTGTGTGCGGGGGTAATTATTGCTATAGTTGTGGGTAGCAGTAGTGTAGTGGTGAGCACGGACCCAGCCACACGGGTTCGATCTCCGCTCACGGTGGTGACGATTATCTGAGCGGGTCCTAGGCCTCCCCTAGATCGACTCGGCCCCAAATGAGTGCCTGGTGCACTGTGTAAACATCACCACTGTAGAGAGACAAAGGCGGCCGGGCGTGGTGTTGACCACCCACCCCTCTCGTGAGCCGCCTACTCGTACATCACTTATCCCAAAAGCCAGTTAAGTATATCCCGTTGTTTTTTGTCCTTGTGTGTGTCATACTAGTTTGCGTAGCGCACAATGATCCCAACTACAAGGGTTCAAAACCCGACTACAGCTAATACCAATAATGTTTGGTATCCGAGTGAGTCTCTTCAAATGTGTCTGGGGTAAATGAAAAAGTGTGTCTGAGTAAAACCTCAACAAGAGAATACGCTTACACTGTGTACACACGTTACACTGTGATTCAAATTAATCCAAACTCAAATTTTAAAACAGCGGGACCAATCGTTGAAACGTAGGTACAAGCATGCTCACGGCTGGACCAGTTTGTATACACGTTTATAAACTAAAGAGTAACTAAAGCACTGCATCTCTACAGAATACTAAGTAAAGGTCACGCGACACCGCCGGTCGACGTGGAAGAGTAGACCAAATACCAATCAATAGCGGCCTCTAGTGGTGACCCTTACGCCAGCAGAGGCTTGGGGGAGAAGTTATAAGGCCGAACCGTTACTCTTTCGAGCCCAATAATTTTTGAAGTAGGCGTATACAGTCTATAATACAGTCTATAATAATAATACGTTATGTTTATACTATATTTCACTGCATTGCCTCCGCAGCAGTTCAAAGCCGCCTTCCATCACATTGCATCTAAAACAATTCGAAGGGCACCCCACGGCCAAAGCGGCAGCTGCCCCTGTGTGGCATAAGGAGACTCGGCACCTATCCTAACAAGAGGGGGCATTTGTCTGTCAAGACGGGAAATGGGTGGGGGGGCGATGATTGCTATTTGGAAATCCTCATTGAGTAGATCTTTTCTTGTTAAATCTATAAAACCGTCGATCTCTGCACTGAAAGTGTAGGGTGCAAACAATTAAACCGCGCGGCACAGAATCCGTATTTTATAGCAAATGCATCGGCGTTTAATTTCACGTGACTATCAGAGGTCCGTGCATCCGGCACCTAACCATTTCACGTGACACTCGCCATGTTTTTTTTAAATGCACGTGTTTATTCGCCTGCGTTTCGTCTACCACCGTTGAGGAGCAACGAGGTATCACTTGTGGCTACGTTTCTGAAGGTCCCACGCTGTATTCGCTCCCTGCGATATTGACGGGTGCGTCTGCGTTGTTGCTGTAAGCTGCTGCTGCTGCTGCTTTGACCTTAATTTTATTCCAACCGCCACGATATACCCAACTTCCAGCCGCAGCACTGGATTGCATATCCCCAACCATTTCCGCCACCCTCTCTCGAGCTAAATTTCCTATTATCCAGTCCACCCATAAATGACCTTGCGATACCTGTTGCCATGCACGAAATCATCGAAGGGCAGCAACCACGGCATTGTGTCGAGGCACACAGCTGTTGTCATCATTCCCACGAATGAAGCCCTCACCACCAGATTGTGTGTAAGTAGGCGCAAACCACCCCGCGAACGCCATCATTGCCAAATTATTTCGCACGCTACGTGTGAACAAACGAACTAACAACAAATGCCGGCGAACTGTCGAAACGGCATCACCCTTGGAAGCAAATCAAAGGCACTTGGACTTAATTCACTCGAGTCGTAGATGACAACGTGACGGCGGAAGCCGTGGACTGCGATTAAATAGATCAACAAATCGCATGAACGCCGCGGGTGTCTCGCACACAAACGTTCGATCCCCTCCACAAAGTAACGCATTGTCTGACGATGATGCTGCTGCTGCTGGTAGTGGTGCAACAACAGCATACACTCAGATACGCTCGTCAACGACACTGCGGCTTTAAAAAGAAGGGAGAAAAACAAACCCGATATGATTTTTATTATAGGCGACGTTTCGTGCAATGGTCCTCATTCACTGCAGGCACATTCTTCATTGCACAAAGAATGGAACATCTGAGCAGACAACTGCCCACCGTTCCTCACCCCCCCCCCACCCCGAAGATTCAATTTGTATCTCCCCAACGCCTTTGACCGCATATCACCATCATCAACATTATCCAACATAATAACTATACAACGTCGCTATTCTTCCGAACGACAACAACATCGTCATCATCATCAGTAAGAGAATGAACGCGTGTGTCATCCAACCGCCCTGAAGATTCACTCAGCGTCTTCCCGAATCCTTTGACCGCATATCACCATCATCATCACAATCATCATCGAGCATCATAACAATAAATCGTCGCTATTCCTCCAATCGACGACTACGACGACATCATCATCAGTCAGAGAATGAACGCGCGTGTCGCATGCCACACACCAACGCGCCAGGACAATGGACCGATTTGTTGCTGTATACTCAGCCGCCAATAGGCGAGTGCTGCGAGACATCAGAATTGGAGGGGTGGGGTGTGGGGGTGGCCGTGTGGGGGGGGGGGGGGTAAGCATTGGGGAGTGGTGGTGGTTGTATTGGGTTGGATGGTCGATGGGAGGTGCTAAACGGGTGATGCACAACTCGCAGGGGGCCGGTTCGCATGAGCGCGGGTAGCTGCTGCGCAGACGCGTCGTGGTGGTTGCGCGCGGTGGCCGCGGCGCTGAGAGTTTGACGAGATCGTCACGTGGCGAGACCCAAAATAAACAGAGCTCTGTGATGAAGATCGCGCCTGCCACTCGGCTGCTCTCGGCGCCGTGAAAGGCAGCGGAGAGGGGCTCGCGTCGCGCCGTCGTTTCTCAAAACCGAGCCGCCGCTGGTCAAAGCCGTGAGCGTCGTCTTCTTAACGCCGTTACCACCAGCACCACCACTACGTAACCGGCTTCGTTGCTACTACTTATACTACTACTACCACCAACAACACGATCACTTCTGCTAACCTCTTCTATCCTGCCATCATCCTGTACCCCCGCCCCCTCTATAACCATCCCTCCTCCTCCCCCCCACCCCTACCACCACCCAACTCGCCTTTCCTTCCTTCTCCTTTCCACACTTTACTCTCTCTCTCTCGCTGTGACTCTCACTCACACATTCTCTCTCTCTCTTGCTCTGACTCTCACTCACACATTCTCTCTCTCTCGATCTGACTCTCACTCACACATTCTCTCTCTCTCGTGCGCTCCCTCCCTCCGCTTCTGCAAATATTCGCCACACTGGGCAGTCGATCTGACAACGAGCAAGTGCCGCCTCGACAAAGCCCAGCACCGCGCGTGAAGGCGGCGAGCCGACGGGCAGACAGGGCACCGTTTTGTCCGAGCGAGGAGAGGCGAGTCGGGCAGAGCGCGAGAGAAAGTGAAGCGGGTGGTGGTGGTGAAGAGCGCAAGAGAAATCCGTAAGATAACGAGAAGAGCGCGCAAGAGCAGCAGGAGGAGGAGGGGCAGTAAGAAGGAAGCGAGCCAGAGTCAGGGAACGAAAGCGCTGCTGTGCCACAGTAAACTTTGCGCGCATCAGCACGCGGATAGCGCTGCTGGTGCCATCAGCGCCCGCGCCGCGTCGCGAATGTAACCCGACTCCGTGTTTATCCACCCTCGCGGCGAGCCGACGTGAGGCTAAAATCTCCCAACCTTTTTTTTTCTTCTTCTCTCTGTTGGGGTTGGAAGGGAGAGGGAGGGTGGGGTGGTGGTGGTGTGCTGCTTCGTAATTTGGAGGGAGATCGGAAATATATATATTTGTGGACACATGACGCTCTCCGGCACCACGAGCAGTTGTAGCGGCGGCGGCGGTGGAGGAGTTGGTGGTGGTGGAGGAGTTGTTGGTGGTGGAGGAGTTGGTGGTGGTGTCGGTGGTGGCGTTGGATGCGGGATGTCTGCGCATACCGTGCTGCATCTCGCCGACGACGCGGACATCGACGTGGTGGGAGAGGAGGAGGAAGAGGAGGAAGACGAGGAGGAGGAGGAAGAGGAGGACGACGATGAGAGGCGAGCGATTTCGCGGAACCCCGCGCGGGACGGACAACTTCGCGCCGAAGACATCCGCGACGTGGTGGCCGGAATGGGACGGGTCGAGGCGAGCTCGGCTTCAGACGTCAGCGGCGTCGTTGACGTTAAGGCGGCAGCAGCGGCAGCAGCAGCCGGGTGCAGCAACAGCAGCAGTAGCAGCAGCAGCAGCATCAGCAGCAGCGGCGGCGTTATCGGCACGACAGCCGTCACCGGTGCTGTTGGCGTCACGGCCGGTTCGGCGAAACCCAAAGCCGCGTTGGTGAAGCCGCCCTACTCATACATCGCGCTCATCACCATGTCCATCCTGCAGAGCCCGCAGAAGAAGCTGACGCTGAGCGGCATCTGCGACTTCATCAGCAACCGCTTCCCCTACTACCGCGAGAAGTTCCCCGCGTGGCAGAACTCGATCCGACACAATCTGTCGCTCAACGATTGCTTCGTGAAGATCCCGCGCGAGCCGGGCAACCCGGGCAAGGGCAACTACTGGACCCTCGACCCGGCGTCCGAAGACATGTTCGACAACGGCTCCTTCCTGCGCCGACGCAAGCGCTTCAAGCGTCAGCCACCCGAGCATCTTCGCGAGCAGGCGGCCTTCATGATGCACGGCCTCGGCGCCTACGGACTCGGCGCGTCTCCCTACGGCCGCGCCTACGGTCTGCACGCCGGGCCGCACGGCTACGCTCACCCCGTGGCGTTGCACCACCAGTACTCGCCCTACGTGTCCCCCGTGGGGACCCTGCTGCCGCCGGCGGTGCCACTGCTGCAGGCGGGTGAGCTGAGCCTCAACAAGGCGTTCAACGCGCAGCTGGGGTCCGCCTTGCAGATGCAGTTGGGGTCGGCGGCGGCGGCTGCTGCTGCGGCGGCGGCCGCGCTTGATCGCGGCGCCGGAGATTCGTTCGGCGGTGGCGGTGGTCGTAAGTCGGAGCAGGCGGCGACGGCTGCGGTGGCCGTCGCGGCTGCAGCGGCTGCAGCGGCCGCGTCTGTCGGGGTGAGCCGACCCTCGTTCAGCATCGAGAGCATCATCGCGGCGACCAGTAGCGCCGCCGCCGCCGCCGTGTCTCCAAGCGCGGCGCACGTGGCGTTCGCCGCGCAGGTTCAGCATCATCATCAGCAGCAGCAGCATCATCATCAGCAACAGCAGCATCATCATCAGCAGCAGCAGAGGCTGTGCGGCGTGCAGCCTTCGGGCAGAGTGGCCCATCACGCAGACCTGCCGCCGGGCACTCTGTCGCTGGGTCTGGGGCCCGCGAGCCTCTCGGTTCACGGCAGCGGCCTCATCCCGGGACACTTGCAGGCCACGCCGGTCACCAGCGCAAACGCGATCATCAAGTGGTAACTCGCAACCAACCCCGCTACTGTTCGAGTCCGCGGACAGCTGAGTTCGTCTACGGACGCGCATCTGAGTTAATCTATGGGCGTGCAAATTGAGTTCTCCGCGTGTTGCGCGGCTGTGTTAATACAGAGCCGCGCGTGTCGCGTTTCGGGGAGGGTTTAATTGCGACGGTGGCGTTTTGTTTGTTTGTTTGTTTTTCGACTGAACGCAAATGTGCTGCCTTTTGTTTACTTATTTATTGGCTCACTCGTGTAAAAAAAGGCTCGTTGAGATATCGAGGCAAATATATCAGCAGGGGTTCATGCTCCACTGGGACAACACCCACGGTGTTCGCACAGATGGGTTGTCGAACCCACTTGCCGCATCGTCGTCTGGCCGGCTCGCGGCCCATCGGCGGCGGGTCTGTGGAGTGTCTCCGATCTCTAACGTGTCCACAAACGCTGGCCTCGGCCTCCGAGGCGTAAATGTAAATACTAAATATATAGATATAACTAAAAAATATATACTATTCGTAACCTATACTAATTTGAAAACGGTCGTCACATTAATTCACTTTTATTACAAGTTGTCCTATGGATGACTAACCCCAGTCATAGTAACGTGGAATTTCCACCAATGGCACAGCAATGATGAATGCCGACTCGGAGCTCGTTCGAGCCGAGAGACGCGTTGAGTTTTTATTTTAAATCTACATCAACAATTCTGCTTTCAAATCGTAAATTCTTACTTCATCAGCGCCATCGTTCGCATTCTCATCAGCAGCAGCCGCGCCGCACGGTGAAGCCTTCCTCGTAGTTTATTTTACATATACATCAACAAGTCCGCTTACCTGTTCGTCAACTCCTGCATCATCATAACAACAACAAATCAGCACCATCATCAGCAGCAGCAATAACAGCGTCATAAGAAAACCATCGTCGCGTGTAAATAAGCGTGCGCTACCACCACGATACATGGGCAATCACTGCAGGTGACACCAATTTCAGTTTCCCCTTTGGCCCGTGGACTCCCTTATCAAACTATCGTTCGATTCTGACGCCCGCTGAGCGTGATTGTATATTGCTGTTGTTGTTGTCTTTTTATATTTGACCTTGCGTTCGTCCAGTTTGTACACTCTCCCGAACTCTCACACTGTTGCAGGAATATCTAACGCAACTCTCCGACGTTTTTGTGGTTTTACCGTTTGGTGCCGCGTGGCCAACGGTTCGAAAACATTGTCCGACGTTCCGCTCCAGGTGCTCAGAGAGTTTTTTTCAGAAAGCGCTCGCGAGCCGCTTGGCGTATACTCCCAACATCGCATACATAGTATGCGTATGTATTAATTGAGCCGGCGACGTTCAGTTCCTCGCGAAGCTCCGAGCACGCAGAGTAAAACGTCGGACACCACGCGGTACAATGCGCGTTACATCAGTAAAACATCGGAGAGCCGCACAGCGCAAACGCGACCGTTTTCCTGAATACGAATTGTATCCCGAATTGGTACATTTATTTTCTAACGGAACCAGTCTCCTTCGCTGGCAAAAAAAAAATGTCTGGCGAAAAAAAAAATGTTAACGAAATCACATTCCTGTTACGTATCTTCACCGAAATCAATTAATATTAAACACCGCACTGCATAGTCCACAGACCGATATTGGCCTTTCTGGACTTGAAGTCAATTAATTGGCGACATTTCGGTGCGCAACAAAGCGAAGACGACGTCGTGCGGTAAAAGGTGTTTTGGTCGAGCAAGCGGGGAGGGCCTTCATCCAGCAGTGGATTGACGGAGGCCCCGTGCATCGCAAGTGTTGTGCTGGCATCTCGAGAAGCGGGCGTAATGCGTATTTAGTCGTCGCAATACTCGATCGATTCATCCCAACGTGCCAATGAGTCGATGGATTCAAACTAAAAAAAGCACACGTCGGATTGTGGACGTGAAGATACGCAAAAGAGGTTGATTTGTTATATTTTTGGAATGGTTAAATTCTTCCGTAGCCGTCCCCATTCCGTTGTGGTTTTATGAACGTCAAGTGAACGAATTCGTTATAAAATGATAACAATGACTGTATTATTATTATTTAAACGATAACAACGATTTTATAATATTTTATTTTTTGGGCGGGGGAGGGCAAGGGCAAGTTTGGTTTTATTTAGCAAGCAACAAACTACGTACTCCAAAGGCGTGCTGTAAATACAATGTAAATTATACAGATACTACGACTATGCTATTTGTGAAATGCTACGCGCTATATACATACGTTGAATTTGCTGAGCTGTTTTGAACTCAACACACCGCCACGGGTTTTATAACGATACGTTAACCCACGGTTGTTCGAATTGCGTTTCGTTGACCATCGCGTTATTAGCATGAAGCGATTGATGTAGAATCGGGCCTTCGGTTTTTTTTTTCATATAAAATACACTTTTTTTTGTTTCTAAATCTCAAGAAATATTTTCGGTTAGGTCATGGCAATAACTGAAGTTAATGGAAACTAAAAAAAAGACGTACTGACTGCAGCACAATAAAAAAAAGTATATTTCGCTGTACAATATGCGACTGGTCATCTCCATTCATTTCATGGTGTGTGATTTAAGTTCATTTATCCGCAAACGTTGTCGTTCCAATGAGAGCGAAAGCGAAAGTAGAATGTGTGGATTGGGGGGTGGGGAGAGTTAAAAAAGCCCAAATCGCCAAGCGGCAAGCAACACAAACACGAAATTGTGAAAAGGGTAAACGTGTAAGTACGTTGCTTTTGGATTGTGCAATGTTACTTGAAGTGCTGCGACCTGCAGTGTTGTTGGTGGTGGTGGTGGCTGAACACAGACAGACACAGCGTGGTCGTACATGAGACGAGACCGTCAGTCTGATAGACCGATACGTGTGGCAACGGCGGGCAATCGATGAGTGAATTTCACGAGAACGGTAGCCGTGACAGTAGCGATATGAGAGCGACTAGGAGGAGACTGATCAACCGGTGAGTGAGTGAATCCGTAAGTGCCGGATCATCTTCATTTTTAACGAGTTTGGCTATATACATACAAAGACAATGGTCCCCCGTGTAGCCTTAACATACGGTTGGGGTAAGTTCTGTTAGCGAGCACCTATTAGGATCGCCACGGCACACGAGGGGATGGGTTGCCATTACGACGCCCGGCCGCCTTTGTTTCCCCAGTTTTACGCACCGCATCGGATACTCATTTTAAACTGAGTCGACCTAGAGGTGGTTCAGACAGTTCAGATACTCGTCACTGGTGTGCCGTTACTTTTGTGACGATTGTCTGAGCCGGAATCGAACTCAAGTCGCCGGATTCGTAGTGCAGCGTGCGAATCCAGTGATGAGCGAGGGGGGTTGCTTCACCATACTTCACCACGCTGGTCAGAGTTGGTGAATGAGGTTTGCATATAACGATAACAATCATTATGAACTCGACGGCAGCGATATGTGTAGACAACCTAATAACCATAATATTATTGAATAATCTATCCAACATTTCCAAACCCTGTATATACTGTCTGTGCAGTATATTTACATTTGCATATGCAGGTGTCATACATATACATGCATATATACATCCACAATGTACGTACACGATACATACAGGCTAATTAAACATAATACCAGCTTTGTTTAATGTCTTTGAGACGAAAGGAATAGTGAGACGTTTCGGCCGACGAGCCTTTTTTTTATAGAAACCATGTTGTATATATATACGACATTCCTACATATGTATATCATCTTACGTGTTTATTAATATATCCATGTAGTGTACAAAATATACACACACCGCGTTTGTGTTTCATGTGGGCGCATTCGCAATCAGCCACCATCACGGTTTGATTCCTGCCACTGGCGGTTCGCAGGTTTTTGCAGTGTGGTGTTGCAATAAAATTTGCGATGACATTTTTGCTTCATATTTCCATTGGCAACTATAACTGGTCTAATGCAAGATCCCATTGAATGAGACACCTAAAATAAAATTGGAAGACGTTTTTAAATAACAGAGATGCAGAGACAGATTTTTTTCATCTCAAAATATCTCACGTTACAAGCCTCTATTTCAATATTCTCCGGAAATATTTGAAATCGTTAATTACGGATTAGCGTGTCATGCCTAGTCCAGACATTCTCTATCCGCTGCTGTATGAAGGCCTCCCCCACACCACGTCGGTCAAGGATGCTCGTGACCATACTTCACCACGTTGGTCAGTGCGAGTTGGTGAAGGCGTGAAGAAAGATCGGGTCGGCCGTTTATGCTGTCACTCGCCACTGATGTCAGCGCAGTGCGCTAACCACTGTACCACCGCTCCAAAAAATAATGACATTCCTTAATGTCTGATTATGATCTTAATTTTCTTATCAGCCGCATCACAATACGTCTGATGACTTGTAGAGAAACATCAAAACAACGCGCTGCAGAGTATCCAATTAAAATAACAGCAAACCATTCTGTATTTCGATTTTAAAATGTCATCCTGGCTCGAGACGACTAATTCAATTCATTTCCGAGCCATTGTATCGTATACATTTTCGAATTCGGGGCAGCGTTATTGGCGAACGCCGTTGGGTTGTTGCGTTTGCCTGCGACGATGCATTCGTGATGGACTGGCTTCAAACGAGTGGGCAATATCAGATGCTCTTCCTTACTGGCAACGCAGCGGTTTTACGAAACAATCCGTTTCATTCAACCGCGGTCGTTCAGAACGGAGACGACTACTAATATATATATAAATATATTACCAAACAACACGCGCTCACAGTTTAATCCGGTTCAAAATAAATACACAAGCTCCGCCGAGTGTGAACAATTTGATACGTCCTCTGCTTGCAGTCAACCAACGCTTGACGTGCAAGCTATCTTAATTTTTTTTATATATATAGTACAACTGAAATTCGTGTATTTATATTCACCGCTTAGTCTATGGGGTTGGGGGTGGGATAGTATTTGTGAGCCCCCCCCCCCTACCTTCGCCTTGACTTTAACCACACGTTGACACGACACAATTTCGAGGATGCTCGTGAACGGTTACACCTGCCGTGATGCACGTGGCCGGCGTAATTAACGATAGACTCGTTTAGAGATTTGATGCAATGTGTGTGTGTTTATACGCTACATACACACGCACACTCGAGGCAGGAGACAAAGACCCCCCGTGTAGCCTTTAACAGACTGTTGGGGCAAGTGCTGTGAGCGAGCTCCCATATACAAGGACATACGCACGCACCCACGTACACGGATTACGTGTAATTTATTTTGTACATTTTTGAGGATATTTCTTCGGCAATGGAAAACGAAAACTATACTTTGCACTTTACTAACCCATTTCATTAAATAATATAGAAACCATACGTAAACACAGGACTGTAATTTGTCAAACGCAGTACGACATAAAATCCAACGCGTGTAATATGAATATATCTTGAGATATCTTGAGATATTATACGTGTATAGAGGGATCCCTTTTTATGGGGGGCTCGGGGTGGTGGTGAGGGGGGGGAAGTAGCCCCCCCCCTCCCTCCCCCTAATATTCATGTCATAAACAATTTTTGAGCGTTTTCATCTATATCTATTTTCGTTTTCACATCACAAATATGATCACTGCCTTTACATGCAATCACTTGTGATCGCCGAATGACGACGCGCGCGCCGCCCAGGAATGTTTGAGCTCTGGGTACGCGCAGACTGTAGGTTTGTGAGATTAATAACGTTAGGTAAATAGGTTTATCGTGATCATCATCGTCGTCGAGATCACCCCACTGCTGGATGAAGACCTCCTTGCCCAAGTCGCCACAGACCTCTCAAGATCCCTGGCCACGTGAGAGTCCACATGCACGCGGACTGGAGCTTTGCATTTCTCCAGTTGTTTTTGTTCGGCACTATTAATAATGGGCACGTACAAACGCACACACACACAAACACAATAACGGGTGTTTTTCCCGTAAAGCCTAAGTGTTCAACGAAATGTCGATATTAACATTCCAGAATTGCATTTCATGTTCTGAAATTAATACACTGCGATGGATACATGTCGATACATGTTTGTGTATATAGTGCCGTATATATATATTAATTTGATCATTACGTCAGATTATTTAAAATTAAATTTATCTGTAAATATATCATAGATATCACGTAACAACCACAATCATACGTAAGCTCATTTTGTTTTTAAAAAAATGTGTTAAATATGTTGTAATCATAAAACAATTGTGTGTTAAAACGATATGTTTTAACATGTACACGTACAGCCTGTATGTCAATCCACTGCTGGATGAGGGTTTCCCAAACACCTACTGTTACCGAGAGCGGTATTTGACCATACTTCACCACGCTGGTTCAGTGCGACTTTAGCAAGGCAATGTTATATTTGTGTTCAATATGAACGCCACGCCATGCACTCAACGCAGCGCATGGGCCATCTTCACAGAAGAGCCACAGAAGGTATTGAAGGACCATTGCTTGAAACGTCTTCTATAACATCGATTGCTTTATTTCAAAGCCTCTGAGTATTATTCACGGATGTGTTGATGTTCTTTGTGGTTATTTGTGCTTGTGAATCACTGACAATGCAGTATCACCAGATAATAAGCCTCAGTACCGTTATTTTAATATAAATATGAAAGGATTGTGGATATATTTGATCAATAATTAGAATCATGAATATTATTTAACGTGTACGCGCTCGTACACATTTCCATAACACACGGGACATCCACGTTTTTCATTCTGTTAATTTATTTTGATAACAGAAATATTAACGTGAAGACATGCTAATATTATATATATATATGTTTTACCCTTCAAAGTCACGCACACACACTATGTGTAATTGATGATTAAAAAAAAAGTGTCATCATAATGATTACTCATCATTTTCTTTTCTTTTACAGCCCTCTGTTAATCCACTGCTGCATGAAACCAGGCCTCCTTCGGATGCCGTGTCGGTCAAGGCGATTGTATATCCGAACTTAACCACAGCGCGGTACACAATGTACGAATTCGCCCATGCACTTTGTTGTTGTGATGATTATTACGATCATCATTATCGACGGTGGTAATTATACAGACTGTAGTTGTGCATCGATAGGGTGAGTGGTGGCGCAGTGATTAGCGCGCTGCACTTTAAGCAGCTGGGATCGACAACCCACGGCTAACATCAGTGGTCAATGACAACGGATCCGTTCCACGTGTTGCCCCCCTCCCTCCCACTTCGTCAACCGGTACTGACGAGCGTGGTGAAGTATGGGCAAAGGACCCCCCATAAACCCCCATGGCGTGGGAAGGCTTTCATCCAGCAGCGGATTGACAGTGGATAGCAAATTATTGTTATTGATTATTGATTATTCAACGTGTTTAGCTTAATTGCATTGCCTTCGAGAATGCCACAGACACATCTTAAAGCAACGGG